AGGAGGCAGAGGTTGCAGTGAGCCAAGATTGCACCACTGCACTCCAGCCTGGGCAACAAAGTGAGACTCTGTCTCAAAACAAAAAAAAAAAGAAAGAAAAAGGAGGCTGGGTGCAGTGGCTTACACCTATAATCCCAGCACTTTGGGAGGCCGAGGCAGGCGGATCATGAGGTCAGGAGTTCGAGACCAGCCTGGCCAACATGCTGAAACCCCATCTCTACTAAAAATACAAAAATTAGCAGGGCATGGTGGCACATGCCTGTAATCCCAGCTACTCAGGAGGCTGAGGCAGGAGAATTGCTTGAACTTTAGAGGCAGAAGTTGCAGTCAGCCGAGATCATGCCACTGCACTCCAGCCTGGAGGATAGAGCAAGGCCCTAAGACCCTATCGCAAAAAAAAAAAAAAAAGACAAAGACAAAGAAAGGATGTGTCCAGGGCAGGGTGTGGGTGCGCTGGTGAACTGCAGATTGCCGCTGGGGACCTTGGGGCCCTGAGACAGATGGACGGATGTTCCCAATTCCCGTTCCTTAGCCCTGTCTAAGAACATGGAGTTTTCCTCTACAGCAGCAGCAGCAGCTGTGACATTTTTGCACCCGCTTAAAAGGCACATTAGTATTTTAAAGGCTCTGAGGAGCAGTGCGGGAAACAGCCTGTAGCATTTTGCTTCTCCCAGCGCTTTCCAAATGCACTTAGCCTTGGAACCCCATGGGGCATCTCAAGGGACCAGTATGCCAAAGAACACCCTCTAGCAAAAGTCGCAGTAGGGGAAAGTGCCTGGGTTTTGGGATTCAACAGGCCACGGTTCAAGTCCCTGTCTGTGAACAAGTAGGTGCTGGGCAAGTCTCTGTGCCTTCCGGAGCCCCTTTTCCTCAGGGTCGTTGTGAGAATTAGGAAAAGCATGTGGGTAAATGGCATGTGGCCAGCTCTCTGGTTTTGCTGCATGCCTCTCCTTGCCAGGCCTGGCCCTGCCTCTTCCGTCAAGCCAGGCTTTCTACATCATAGGCTCCACGTGGGCTCCTGAAGCAGCAGCTAGGTGATGGGCGTGGTGGGATGCGTGATTGGATTTCTCCTGTAGGAGCACGGTAGCTGATGCCCCTCACTTGGCACCTGTGTTGGCCCTGGCATCATGGACAACAGAAAAACTCAGATGTACACAGAAGGTAGAACCAAGGCTCCAGGGACCCAGCCAAGTCCTGGTCTGAGAATCACCATAAAGAGGGCTGGTGTTGAGCCCACCATACAAGGAGTCAGCCAGGTAGGGACCTGTACCCCATGTTCTGATCCATCCACTCCTAGCTGGTACCTTCCCCTTCCCCTGCCCAGGCTTCCTCCCTAACTGCTTTAATTAAGACTCTCTGTTAGAGAGATCCAAGATGGCTGATCACTAGCAGCTCGGGATTGTAGCTCCCACTGAAAGTGCAGAGAACGAGAGGACACCACATTTTCAGATCAATTTTTGTTGCTCACGCACCAGGAGATTCCCAGCGGAGGGGCCCCACGGGTCACCAGCTCGACTCTTGTGGCCGGTGAGGCGGTTTTGCCGCTGCCTTGGTGCGGCGGTTCTTGGTGCAGAGTCAGAAAAGCACCATCAATCTTAACGCCGCTGCTTTGGCCGGCGCAGTGGGTTGCTCAGATTCTAGCGCCGGGAATCAACAAGTTGGACAAGCCAAGCTGGAAAATACGCTTCAGGATATTATTCAGGAAAACTTTCCCAACCTAGCAAGGCAGGACAATATTCAATTCCAGGTAATACAGAGAACACCACAAAGATATTCCTCAAGAAGACCAACCTCAAGGCACATAATCACCAGATTCATCAGGGTTGAAATGAAGGAGAAAATACTGAGGGCAGCCAGAGAGAAAGGTCAGGTTACCCATAAAGGGAAGCCCATCAGACTCACAGCAGATCTCTCAGCAGAAACCCTACAAGCCAGAAGAGAGTGAGGGCCAATATTCAGCATCCTTAAAGAAAAGAACTTTCTTTTTTTTTTTTTTTTGAGACAGAGTTTCGCTCTTGTTACCCAGGCTGGAGTGCAATGGCGCGATCTCGGCTCATTGCAACCTCCGCCTCCTGGGTTCAGGCAATTCTCCTGCCTCAGCCTCCTGAGTAGCTGGAATTACAGGCACGCGCCACCATGCCCAGCTAATTTTTTGTAGTTTTAGTAGAGATGGGGTTTCACCGTGTTGACCAGGATGGTCTCGATCTCTTGACCTCGTGATCCACCTGCCTCGGCCTCCCAAAGTGCTGGGATTATAGGCATGAGCCACCGCGCCCGGCCAAGAAAAGAACTTTCAACCCAGAATTTTACATCCAGCCAAAGTAAGCTTCTTAAACGAAGGAAAAATAAAATCTTTTGTGAACAAGCAAGTACTCAGAGATTTCATCACCACCAGGCCTGCTTTACAAGAGCTTCTGAAAGAACCACTACACATAGAAAGGAACAACCAGTATCAGCCTTTCTAAAAAATACCAAAAAATAAAAAACATTAACATAATTAAGAGCTTGCATCAACTAATGGGCAAAACAGCCAGCTAACATTAAATGGCAGTATCAAACTCACATATATTGTTATTAATTCTAAATTTAAATCGACTAAATCCCCCAATCCAAAGACACAGACAGCCAAAAAAGCCAAGACCCATTGGTATGCTACATCCAGATCCATCTCACATGCAAGGATACACAAAGACTCAAAACAAAGGGATGGAGAAAAATTTACCAACCAAATGGAGAGCAAAAATAAATAAATAGAAAGCAGGAGTTGCAATTTTTGCTGATAAAATAGACTTTAAAGCAACAAAGATCAGAAGCAGCAAAGAAGGATATTACATAATGATAAAAGGATCAATGTAACAAGAAGAGCTAAAGATCCTAAATATATACGCACCCAATGCAGGAATACCCAGATATATAAGACTTATAAAGAGACTTAGACTCCCACACAATAATGGTGAGAGACTTCAACATCAATATTAGACAGATCAATGAGACAGAAAGTTCACATCGATATCCAGGACTTGAACTCAGATCTGGAACAAGTAGACTTAATTAACATTTATAGAACTCTCCACTTTAAATACACAAAATATACACTCTTATCAGTACCACATCACACCTATTTATAGGTTTGGATGAAATGTTGGTTGGCTGCTTGTTGGTTATTTTCTTCCCTCATTTTTTTTTCACGTCTTTATTATTAAACACAATTTCAGGCATCCCCATTTTTGGACTGCATTCTAGCCCGGGCAATAAAGCAACACCCCTGTTCTCTCTCCCTCTTCTTCTTCCTCTTTCTTCCTCTCCTTCATTCTTTTTTTTTCTTTTTTTTTTATTCTTTCTCTTCTTTCTTTCTCTCTTTTTTCCTCTAAAAAAAAAAAAAGACTCTGTTAAAATGGACACAAAACCCAATTCAAACTGGATTAAGCAGAAAAGAGAATACATCAGTTTGGCTAACTGGCAAATCCATCCATAGGCTTCAGGTATGACTGGATCAAGGTGCTAAATGAGTATCTCTTGGCTTTACATTCTTCTATGTTAGATTCATTCTCAGGCAAGCTCTCCCTGCAAGATGGCAGGGATTGCCCTGCCCACTCCAGAATTACACCTTCTCATCTTACATGCTCTGGTTTAGCATTCCAACAGGAAGTGAGCCCCTTTGCAATAGTTGAAGCAAGTCTCTAGCATCACTGTCATTGGCCCAGATTGTGGTCAGATGCTCATCCTTGAACCAGTCACCATGGCAGCGGGGAGTGGCCTGGATCTCTTGATACAATGGCGACAGGTGATCGTTGGCTCCACTGAGCTCCATGGGCTGAATGGAGAAGAGAAGTTTGGATTCCAAAAACAATGCTGGCTTCTGTAACGGAAAGAGCTGCAGGGCGAGCAAGCTCAGAATTGCCTACTTGCTTTCCTAGGTGCCTTCCGTGGCCTCCAAGCTCCCCTCGCAGCCTCCAGCCCAGCCTTATTCTCCTGACAGCTACTCAGGGCTTCCCTCCATGCCCCTCCCCAGTGCCCAGCCTGCATTCTAGGTACCTCTCACACCTCCCAGCCTCTTTCCATCAAATATGTTTCTCAGTTTTTTTTTTTTTTTTTTTTTTTTTTTTTTTTGCTTTTTTGTTTGTTTTGAGACAGGTTCTCACTCTCTCACCCAGGCTGGAATGCAGTGGCGCAATCATGACGCACTGCAGCCTCGAACTTCCAGGCACAAGCGATCCTCCTGCCTCAGCATCCTGAGTGGCTGGAACTATAGGCATGGCATGTACCACCACACCCAGATAATTTTTTTATTTTTAGTAGAGACAAGACTTTATCATATTGCCCAGGCTGGTCTTGAACTCCTGGACTCAAGTGATCTGCCTGCCTCAGACTCCCAAAGTGTTGGGATTATAGGCATAAGGCTCCACATCCGGCCTCTTTTTTATTCTTTTTGAGACAGAGTCTTGCTCTTTCGCCCAGGCTAGAGTGCAAGGGTATGATCATGGCTCACTGCAACTTCCATCTCCCAGGTTCAAGCAATCTCCATCTAATTTTTTTGTATTTTTAGAAGAGATGGGTTTTTACCATGTTGGATAGGCTGTTCTTGAACTGCAAGTGATCCTCCCACCTCGGCTTCCTAAAGTGCTAGGATTACAGGCTTGAGCCACTGCACCCAGCTGGCCTCTTTTTGAATGTGCCAAGTAGCATGAACTGAAGAGCATAAAAAGACCCTCCTCCCCATCCAGTTTCCTCAGAACCAAAGATATCACCATTTAAAAAGTCAGCCGGCTGGGCGTGATGGCTCACGCCTGTAATCCCAACACTTTGGGAGGCCAAGGCGGGCGCGTCACCTGAGGCTGGAGTTCAAGACCAGCCTGACCCAACATGGAGAAAACCCCATCTCTACTAAAAATACAAAATTAGGTCGGGTGCTGTGGCTCACGTCTGTAATCCCAACACTTTGGGAGGCCGAGATGGGCAGATTACCTGAGGTCGGGAGTTTGAGACCAGCCTGACCAACATGGAGAAACTCTGTTTCTACTAAAAATACAAAAATTAGCTGGGCATGGTGGCGCATGCCTGTAATCCTGGCTACTTGGGAGGCTGAGACAGGAGAATCACTTGAACCTGGGAGGCGGAGGTTGTGGTGAGCCAGGATTGCACCATTACACTCTAGCCTGGGCAACAAGAGCAAAACTCCACCTCAAAAATAAATACATAAACAAATTAAAAAAAAAAAAAAAAAGCCAGGTGCCGTGCTCACGCCTGTAATTGCAGCACTTTGGGAGATTTGGTGGATGGATTGCTTGAGCCCAGGAGTTAAAGGCCAGCCTGGGCAACACGGCAAGACCCCATTTCTATTTAAAAAAAAAAAAAAAATCAGCATTCCCTTGGGTTAAGTATTTCCTCCTCCCTGTAGCCTCTGTCATAAATCCTGTCTTTCCCAGGGGCAAGGAGAGGGCCTGGAGTGGAGTAGGTTAGGAAAGAGGCTGGAGGCGAGCATTCAGGGATTCCTTCGCCCACGCATTTATGCTTCAACAAGCATAGTCATGGGCTCCCTGTCCCACCACTCACCCAGCTGTATGACCTTGGGCGTGTCACTGCAACCCCTTTGAGCCTCATTGGTTTTACGGTGAGGACTAACTGGGTTAAATCCCTAGAAGGCACCTGGCACAGACCCTGCCTATATCCCACCTACTTGGGAAGCTGAGGCACAAGAATCTCTTGAACCCAGGAGGTAGTGGTTACAGTGAGCCGAGGTCACACCACTGCACTCCAGCCTGGGCAACAGAGCGAAACTCTATCTCAAAAACTGAAATAAAAACTCAGTTCAGGCTGGGTGTGGTGGCTCACGCCTGTAATCTCAGCACTTTGGGAGTTTGAGGTAGGTAGATCACAAGATCAGAAGATCAAGACCATCCTAGCCAACATGGTGAAACCCCTTCTCTACTAAAAAAAATACAAAAAATTAGCGGTGTGATGGCGGGCACCTGTAGGCCCAGCTACTCGGGAGGCTGAGGCAAGGGAATCGCTTGAACCCAGGAGCCAGAAGTTGCAGTGAGCCAAGATGCCAAGATTGCACCATTGCACTCCAGCCTGCCGACAGAGCAAGATTCTGTCTTAAAACAAACAAACAAACAAAAACAAAGAAAAACCAAACAAACAACAAAAACCTCAGTTCAAACGAGAATCTGCATTTTGAAGGCATGGGAATTGCGGAAGGCCTCCCTCAGACACCGTGAGAGTCTCAGGTTCCCCAGGGTGCTCTCTCAAGCTGTCCTAGGGCAACCCCCTTGTCTCAGGTGCTAATCTGGACTCCAGTTCAGACCAGAGCCTTATATGCTGAGCAACAGCTTCTGGCTGAGCTGGGCCCTGCATCCCAGCCTCTCTTCCCTGCCTCTTGGCTCCGGCTCACCCCTCTCCAACATGTTGCCCATTCAGGCACGGGATCTCCCCATCCCTGAGGCCAGGAGAGTGTCCAGGGAGGAGTGGGAGGGCCCACTCCAGAACGGGTACTGCTCGACAGCCCTCGAGCCAGTGCCATGGCATTTCTGTCCAGGTCGTGATTCAGGATGCTTCAGAATTTGGCAGCGGGAAGCAGCCCTCATCAGCCTCAGGAGGGTCAGAGAAGGGGCCCAGACACAGAGAAGCATTCAAGGTGGAGTCTTCAGACCTCAAGACCCAGGAGCCGAGGCCTCCAGCAAAACCAGGGTGAGCTGAGGGGATTCCCAGAGAATAGGTCCAGGAGAGAACCCCCGGTAGTAGCCCACCTGCAGGGAAGAGAGAGAATGCAGAACCCCCAGGTCAGGGGAGCACCACCAGCCACATCACCTTGTTTTTCTCTCATTTTTTTTTTTTTTTGAGATGGAGTCTTGCACTGCCGCCTGGCTGGAGTGCAATGACGCAATCTCAGCTCACTGCAACTTCTGCCTCCCAGATTCAAACGATTCTCCTGCCTCAGTGTCCAGAGTATCTGGGATTACAGGCACTCGTCACCATGCCTGGCTAATTTTGGTATTTTTTAGTTGAGACGGGGTTTCACTATGTTGGCCAGGCTGGTCTCGAACCCCTGACCTTGTGATCCGCCTGCCTCAGCCTCCCAAAGTGCTAGGATTACAGGTGTGAACCACCATGCCCGGCCGTCCTTTTCTTTCATTGCATCAGTTGGACCAAAGAATTCATGTTAACACTTGTCTGATACTCCCCCAACTAGACCACAAACATCTTTTATGGTTCAGCCTCAAAATCTCATGCCTGGTACTATGCATGACACATGGTAAATGTTCAATAAATATTGATTCACTGAATTAATAGAATAATGAACAAAAAGAGGTTGGGAGACACAAGAACACATAAAGATGTACATCTAATTGTTTTCAAGATGAAATCTCGCCCTGTCGCCCAGGCTGGAGTGTAGTAGAGAGGTCTCAGCTCACTACAACATCCGCCTCCTGGGTTCAAGAGATTTTCCTGCCTCAGCCTCCTGAGAAACTGGGATTACAGGTGCCCACCACCACACCCAGCTAATTTTTGTATTTTTGGTAGAGACGGGGGTTCACTATGTTGGCCAGGCTGAGTCTCAAACTCCTGACCTTGTGATCTGTCTGCCTTAGCCTCCCAAAGTGCTGGGATTAGAGGCATGAGCCACTGCACCCGGCCCATGTAATTGTTTTCTAAATTTTGTATATATTTTTAAACTTTTCTACAGCAAGAATGTATTCAAAAGGAAAAAACCAAGAGCGAGCCAGAGGGAGACAAAGTGAAAGGTTTGGATAGTAGAAATAGGAAAGGCTAGCTGGCTTGGTTGGATTAGACTATAACCAGGAACTCCTGAATAGCCTCCCCTGCAAGAAAAAGTAGGGGAGACAACTCATGCCAGGCCTGAGCCCGACTAAGACAATGACTGCATACCACCCTGGTGGAAGCGGAAACCGTTTAAGCACACCTGCTTCCTAGGTTCATCAACGTGGCAATTTGTTCAAATTGCCTTGAAACTGCCTGACCTTCACCCATTTCTGCAAATAGGCCGTGAGGAAACAATTGGTGATTCAGGCAGTTTTATGCGCAAAGACTTTCATGTCACGTTATCTTAAATACTAAAAAATTAGAAACCCCTTAAGTACCCACACACTAGGGAAATGGTTAATAATGGTTATCTATAAAATATGGAATTTTATATGTAAGAAACATGTAAAGCATGTTTCTGAAGGATTTTTAGCATGGGAAAAATGTATGCTATGATGTTTATTGAACAAAAGTAGATTAGGCTGGGCACAGTGGCTTACGCTTGTAACCCCCGCATTTTAGGAGGCTGATACAAGTGCATCACCTGAGGTCAGGAGTTCGAGACCAGCCTGACCAACATGGCGAAACCCTGTCTCCACTAAAAATACAAAAATTAGCCAGGCATGGTGGTGTACGCCTGTAATCTCAGCTACTCAGGAGGCTGAGACAAGAGAATTGCTTGGACCTGGGAGGCGGAGGTTGCAGTGAGCCGAGATTGTGCCACTGCACTCCAGACTAGGCAACAAACAGAGATTCCATCTCAAAAAAAAAAAAGAAAAAGAAAAAATGTAGTTTATAATATTGTATGTGGAATGTGATTGTAACTCTGTAAATTTATGCTATTACTTGAAGAGGGCAACTAAATAAATCTCCATTAAAAATACATATTCAGGGACGGGCGTGGTGGCTCATGCCTGTAATGCCAGCACTTTGGGCATTACATTTGAGTGGATCAACTGAGGTCAGGGGTTCGAAACCAGCCTGCCAACATGGTGAAACCCCGTCTCTACTAAAAATACAAAAATTAGCCAGGCGTTGTGTCGCATGCCTATAATCCCAGCTACTAGAGAAGCTGAGGCAGGAGAATTGCTTGAACCTGGTAAGTGAAGGTTGAAGTGAGTGGAGATCACGCCACTGCACTCCAGCCTGGGCAACAGATTGAGACTCCATCTCAAAAAACAAAAAGAGTGTGAGAGAGAGAGAGAGAGTGTGTGTGTGTGTGTGTGTGTGTGTGTATGCAGGGCCAGGCACCATGGTTCACGTCTGTAATCCTAACACTTTGGGAGGTCGAGGTGGGCAAATTACTTAAGCCCAGGAGTTCAAGACCAGCCTGGGCAATATGGCAAAACCCCATCTCTACAAAAAATACAAAAATTAGTCGGGCGTGGTGGCATATGCCTGTAGTCCCAGCTACTTGGGAGGCTAAGGCGAGAGGATTGCTTGAGCCCAGGAGGTGGAGCTTGCAGTGAGCAGAGATCACGCCACAGCACTCCAGGCTGGTGACAGAGCAAGACTCTCTTTCAAAAAAAAAAGTATGCATACTCGGCCGGGCACGGTGACTCACGCCTGTAATCCCAGAACTTTGGGAGGCCAAGGCGAGCGGATCACCTGAGGTAGGGAGTACTCACAGACCAGCATGAACAACATGGAGAAACCCAATCTCTACTAAAAATACAAAATTAGCCGAGTGTGGTGGTGCATGCCTGTAATCCCAGCTACTCAGGAGGCTGAGGCAGGAGAATCGCTAGAACCCCGGAGGCAGCCGTTGTGGTGAGCTGAGATTGTGCCATTGCACTCCAACCCGGGCAACAAGAGCTAAATTCCGTCCAAAAAAAAATGTAGGCATACACATAGGGAAAAGCCTGGAGGAAATACTCCAGAATATTAAAGTGAGATCAGATAAACACAGCTTCAAATTTTGAACTGTTATCTTTAGCTTTATGACCTTAGGCTCAAATCTCTCGTCCTCTCTGCATCCCAGTTCTGATTTTTGTTTCATTTTTGCAGGAAAACAGTTAAAAAATACTATAAAACTTAAATTCTAGGCTGAACATGATGGCTCACACCTCTAATCCCAGCACTTTGGGATGCCAAGGTGGGAAGGTTGCTTGAGCCCAGGAGTTCAAGACCAGCCTGGGCAATATAGTGAGACCGTGTCTCTACAAATAATTTTAAAAGTTTAAATTTTAACTCCCCTAAACATTGACATCAAAGTATCTAGGATTTGGGGAATGCCTGTGAGTCCTTCATTTGTCCTCTCAGGCGTTAGGCATGCAGCTATGGTATGTCTAGCCCTATAATATAAAACAGGTCCCAGTCTGGGAACTGAAGTGTCACTTTGTCTATTTTCCCCAGGAAGAAGCAGTCCTCTTGGGTCCCCCAGAAAGGGTCCCAGGAGCTGCAAGCAGGCCAGGATCAGAGTGAGCTGGGGTTGTCGCCTTCCTGGGTTCCTGAAGCACCTGAAGGACTGCAGCAGCCGGGCTCTGGGAAAGAGATCGAGGGCCAGCAGGGGAGGCAACGGAACCCAGGAACCAGGGAGGATCAGCCTCCTGAGAGCTGCCAGGTAACCTCCTAGGAGATAGGAAGAAGGATGTGGAATGACCTACCACAGGGGAGGTGGAGGAGCCCCCTACCACAGGGGAGGTGGAGGAGCCCCCTCCCACCATGCCCTCCATTCCGGCGCATGTACCTGTAGTCCCAGCTGCTTGGGAGGCTGAGGCAGGGGGATCCCTTGAGCCCAGGAGTGAAGGCTGCAATGAGCTGTGTTCAGAACACTGCACTTCAGCCTGAGTGACAGAGTGCTTGCTCCCTCTGTGCCCTGAAGATGCTAAGCGCTGTGGGTCACTGGGCTATTCCCCCAGCCTGCATCACAAGCATTTAAGTCTTCTTTTCAGGCTGGATGTGGTGGCTCTCTCCTGTAATCCCAACACTTTTGGAGGCCAAAGCAGGAGGATCACCTAAGGTCAAGACCAGCCTGGCCAACATGGTGAAACCCCGTATCTACTAAAAATACAAAATTAGCTGAGCGTGGTGGCGCATGCCTATAGTCCCAGCTACTCAGGAGGCTGAGGCAGGAGAATTGCTTGGACCGGGGAGGTGGAAGACCATGACATTGCACTCCAGCCTGGGCTGTGAGAATGATACTCCATCTCAAAAAGATAATACACTGGGCGCGGTGGCTCACGCCTGTAATTCCGGCACTTTGAGAGGCCAAGGCGGGCGGATCACGAAGTCAGGAGATTGAGACCATCCTGGTTAACACAGTGAAACCCTGTTTCTACTAAAAAAATACAAAAAATTAGCCAGGCATGGTGGCACGCGCCGGTAGTCTTAGCTACGCAGGAGGCTGAGGCAGGAGAATCACTTGAACCTGGGAGGCAGAGGTTGCAGTGAGTTGAGATTGCGCCACTGCACTCCACCCTGGGCAACAGAGTGAGACTCTGTCTCACAAATAAATAAATAAATAAGCCGGGCGCGGTGGCTCAAGCCTGTAATCCCAGCACTTTGGGAGGCCGAGGTGGGTGGATCACGAGGTCAAGAGATCGAGACCATCCTGGTCAACATGGTGAAACCCCGTCTCTACTAAAAATACAAAAAATCAGCTGGGCATGGTGGTGCGTGCCTGTAATCCCAGCTACTCAGGAGGCTGAGGCAGGAGAATTGCCTGAACCCAGGAGGCGGAGGTTGCGGTGAGCCGAGATCGCGCCATTGCACTCCAGCCTGGGTAACAAGAGCGAAACTCCGTCTCAAAAATAAATAAATAAATAAATAAATAAATAAATAAAATAAGATAATACAAATAAAATAAACATAAATCTTATTTCCAGAGTGGCCCCCCAGTATGTCACTGGGACTAGGGGGAGGGAGGAGGTGCCAGGTTCTGTATACAGATACTATTGGGAGATGCTGAATTTAACAAAGCTGAAACAGGTTTTTGTATGCTAGGATACCCTGGAAGGAGTTTACTCGCTGCTGAACCTTTTTTTTGGTTTTAACCTTTTAAGGTTTTGCCAGATATGATTAGAGATCAGCTGCCGTGGCTCACACCTTTAATCCCAGCACTTTAGGAGGCTGAGGCAGGAGGATCGCTTGAGCCCAGCAGTTTGAGATCAGCCTGGGCAATATGGTAAAACCCTACAGAAAATACAGAAGTTAGCTGGATATGGTACTCAGGAGACTGAGATGGGAGGATCCCCTGGGGTCAAGGCAGCAGTGAGCCAAGATCACACCACTCTGCTCCAGCCTGGGTGACAGAGTGAGACCCTATCTCACAAAAAAAGATATGGTTAGAGTATATTGCCTTTCCCATATTGTAGTCAAACTTATTTAACTACAAAATGTCTTTTTGTTTATTTTTAAGATTTTTAACAGCTTTGGTGAGGTAATAATTGGCATGTACTTGCACATGCTTCAAGTGTACAATTTAATGTTTTGACATAGGTACACGCCCACAAAACCATCCCCAAAATCAAGAAAGCAAACCTAGCATCAACCCAACCATTTCCTCATGCCCCTTCTCACCCCTCCCACTAGTCCCCTAATTTCAGGCAGCCACCAACTGTCACTACAGATTTGTTAAGTGTTTCCTGGAATCTTACACAAATGAAATTGAACAGTGTACATTCTTTCTGTCTGGCTTTGTCCACTCTGCATGACTATTTGAGATTCATCTATTGTGTGTTTTTACATGTTGCTCCTTTAGTTGCTCAGCAGTATTTCCATTCTATGATATACCATAATACACCACTTTTTCTTTTTTTGAAATGGGAGTTTCATCTGTTGCTTAGGCTGGAGTGTAGTGGTGTGATCTTGGCTCACTGCGACCTCTGCCTCCTGGGTTCAAGTGATCCTCCCACCTCAGCCTCCTGAGTGGCTGGGATTACAGGCGCACACCACCTTGCCCGGTTAATTTTTTTGTTTTTAGTAAAGACAGGGTTTCACCATGTTGGCCAGGCTGGTCCCGAACTCCTAACCTCATGTGATCCGCCAACTTAGGCTTTTGCTATTTTTTTTTAAGAGACAGAGTCTCACTCTGTCGCCCAGGCTGGAGTGTAGTGGTGTGATCATGGCTTACCACAACCTCTGCCTCCTGGGTTCAAGTGATTCATGTGCTTCAGCCTCCCAAGTAGCTGGGATTACAGGCATGAGCCACCATGCCTAGCTAATTTTGTATTTTCAGAAGAAACATAATTTCGCCATGTTGGCCAGGCTGGTCTTGAACTCCTAACTTTAAGTGATCTGCCTGCCCCTCAGCCTCCCAAAGTTCTGCAGGTGTGAACCACTGTGCCTGGCCAAAAATCCCTCTTTTTAAGAAGCCTCATGAAGGATTCTTGTTCTTTGAAACATCCCTTGGAAAATCCCATTTAAGGCTGGGCATGGTGGCACATGCCTGTAATCCCAGCACTTTGGGAGGCTGAGGCAGAAGAATGCTTGAGCCCAGGAGTTCAAGATGAGCCTGAGCAACATAGCGAGACCTCATCTCTACCAAAAATTTAAAAATATCAGCCAGGCATGGTGACACATACCTGTAGTCCCAGCTACTCAGGAAGCTGAAGCAGGGGGATCCCTTGAGCCCAGGAGGTTAAGGCTGCAATGAGCTGTGTTCATGCCACTGCTCTGCAGCCTGGGTGACAGAGTGAGACTTGTCTCAAAAAAAAAAAAAAAAATACACACAAGTAAAAGAAAATCCTATATAAAGGGGATCTTCTGCTTTTTCAGGCTCCCATTCCACTCCCACAGGGAAGTGTGGTTCTTTGAGTAGGCCACGACTTCTCTGGGCTTCAATTTCCCCACAAAATGTAGGAGTACCTGAGCTACCTTCTATGGGCACCAGGAGAATTAAGTAAGATGATGCCTGAGGTTCTGGGACCCTAGGAAGTGTGTAATAACTGGTCTCCAGTTCACCGGGAGCACTGCAGTTCACCTGGGAACCCGGATGGAGCTCCCCATCCTTGGTATCTTTGTTCTTGGCAGGGCACTGGATATCAGTCCACCCTAGGTCACCAAGCAGACATGGTGCAGCCAAGAGACGCTTCTTGCCCCTTGGAGAGCCATGGCCAGCCACTGAGAGACAAGTGCCCCAAGGAGGCAGGCATCCCACACATCAGACCACAGGAGGCTCTGCCAGAGCTCAGCCCAGGGGGACATGAGGAGAGCTCTCAGGAATCAATGTCCCCAGTGTCCATGGTGGCTCCAGAGGAAAAGACAGCCAACCCCTTCCTGCCATCCATGCCTGGACCTAAAAAAACAAAAGAAGGGTAAGTCACCATCCAGTGCCATCTCCTGCCCCACTCCCTGCTTCAACAAGAATGCACTCCTGCTGAGTGTCAGGTGAGGCGAATTCTAGTCCAGACTGCTCTGGACCTGGTAGAGGACCTTGGGCGAGCCATGCTCCCGGGTCTCAATTTCCCCATCTGTGTAACAGCTGGAATAGCAGAATTCTTTGTTCCATGATCCTGAATACATGAGGATGCGGGGGAATAAGGAGCCCCCCGGAGATGAGAAGGTCAAGGGGACAAGGCTGGGATGGAACTGAGTGTCCTGGGGGCTGAGAGGCGAGGGCCAGCGGCACACCTTCAGCTGAGCCCTTCCCTCACCTGGGGGTTTCTCCTCTTTTCAGGGTTGAGGCTGTGGAGACCCAGCCAGCACCTGGGCCTTTTCCTCCACCAGTAAGTAGGGCCATAGTGGGTATGGGATGGGCTGTGTAGGGGGAGGGCAGGGGAATCAGGAGGAGGAAGAGGGCAGAGGCAGATATGGCAGGTCAAACCCATATTTGGAGTCAAACCGAGGAAGGCGTGTGTACCTGTGTGTGCAAGTGCACGTAGATGTGCATACGTGTGTGTGTGTGCCGTCTGTGCATGTGTGTGTGCATGTGTGCATGCATGTGTGTGTATTCTGGGTGGGGGTCAAGAAGGCTCTTACCCTCTACATTCTAGAGCCCTTGGGTTCATCCCAGGTATGGTGGCTTGTTCCATGTCAGCATGCATTTCTTCCACCCATTTGCCCTCGGCCACAGCCACACAATCTGAAGAGTCCCTGAACACCTGGAAGGCTTTCCTAACCCCTGCTAGCCACCCTTGCCTCCCCCAGCGCTGCCACTTCCTAGTTCTTTGACCCGACCAGGCAACCTGCAAATACACAGTCACTAGCATGCCCTGCCAGCACCTGCCCTGTCTCATCCTGCTGTGTTCATTGGCAAAACCCCACCCTGGTTAAACCCATGCCTTGTGCCCATGTTGAGCAGCTCAACGTGGCTGGAGAACATCCTGTCTTGTAGACGGGTTTCACTTTCTTTCTTTCTTCTTTCTTTCTCTCTTTCTCTCTTTTTCTTTCTTTCTTTCTTTCCTTCTTTCTTTCTTTCTTTCTTTCTTTTTCTTTCTTTCCCTCTCTCTTCTTTCTTTCCTTCCTTCCTTTCCTTCCTTCCTTCCTTCCTTCCTTCCTTCTCTTTCTCTTTCTCTCTCTTTCCTTCTTTCCTTCTTTCCTTCCTTCTTTCTTTCTTTCTTTCTCTTTCTTTCTTTCTTTTTTTCTCTCTCTCTCTTTCTTCTTTTTCTTTCTTTCTCTCTCTCTCTCTCCTTCCTTCCTTCTTTTCTTTTCTTTTCTTTCTTCTTTTCTTTTTTGTTTTTTTTGAGACGGAGTTTCACTCTTGTCCATGCTGGAGTGCAGTGTGATCTCTGCCCACTGCAACCTCCACCTTCCGGGTTCAAGTGATTCTCCTCCCTCAGCCTCCCAAGTAGCTGGAATTGCAGGTGTGCACCACCACCTCTGGCTTTTTTTTTTTTTTTTTTTTAATTGAGACAGAGTCTCTCTCTGTTGCCCAGGCTGGAATGCAGTGGTGCAATCTTGGCTCACTGCAACTTCCACCACCGAGGTTCAAGCGATTCTCCTGCCTCGGCCTCCTGAGTAGCTAATATTACAGGCATGCACCACCTTGCCTGGCTAATTTTTGTATCTTTAGCAGAGACGGGGTTTCACCATGTTGTCCAGGTTGGTCTCAAACTCCTGACCTCAGGTGATCCGCCTGCCTCGGCATCCCAAAGTGCTGGGATTATAGGCATGAGCCACCACGCCCAGACATGGACCTTGCCTTTCAATTCCATGTTCATATATCCAATGGTTTACTTGAATTCCATCTGACTGGCTAACTCACTTCTCAAATGCCACCACCATGGTTTTCGTCAGCCCAGCAAATGACACTGCTTTTCACCCAAGGAGCTCATACCACCCAGCTCAAAGTCACTTCTGATTCCTCCTTTGCCCTCTACAATCCTTTCATATGCATCAACCAGCCCTGCCTAGTGCTACCTACAAAATAAATCCTGAATCCATCCCTTCCCTCCACCCCCTCTTTCATTACCCTAGTCCAAGCCTCATCTTCTTAGAATAAGATCCAAAGTCTTTACCAAGAGCCATAAAGCTCTATGTCTAGCCACTCTGGTCTGACCTCCATCCCTGGAATATGCTGAGCCTAGTCTCACCTCAGGGCCTTTGAATGTGCCTGTGCCTGAACTTCTCCCATAGACAGTCTCATGGCTGACTCTCTTGAGTCATTCACTTTTCTTTTTTTTCTTTTTTTTTTTTTTAGAGACAGACAGGGTCTCGTTACGTTTCCCAGGCTGGAGTGTAGTGGTTATTCACAGGCGTGAGCCCACTACTGATCAGCACGGGAGTTTTGACCTACTCTGTTTCTGACCTGGTGGTCCCCCGCTCCGGGGAGGTCACCATATTGATGCCGAACTTAGTGCGGACACCCAATCGGCATAGCGCACCACAGCCCAGAACTCCTGGGCTCAAGTGATTCTCCCCCCTCAGCCTCCCGAGTAGCTGGGACTACAGGCACGTACCACTGTGCCCGGCGACATTATCTTTAAGTTGTCAACCTATTCATCATCTAGAAAGCAAACTCCCTGAGGGCAGCCTCACTAGTTGACTTACCCCTCTATGCTCTGTGCAAACAATGCCCAGCTGGTGGTAGGTACTCAACAGGAATGTGGTGAATAAATGAATGGATGGGAATAAGACGAGGTACCTCTCTGGACTGATGAGAAGTCAGATGAGAAATGAGAACTAGGCCGGGCGCGGTGGCTCACACCTGTAATCCCAGCACTTTGGAAGGCTGAGGTGAGCAGATCACCTGAGTTCAGGAGTTCAAGACCAACCTGGTCAATATGGTAAAACTCTATTAAAAACACAAAAAATTAGCAGGGTGTGTTGGAAGGCACCTGTCGTCCTAGCCACTCAGAAGGCTGAAGCAGGAGAACAACTGGAACCCAGGAGGTGGCGGCTTCAGTGAGCCAAGATCGCGCCATTGCACTCCAGCCTGGGCAGCGAGAAAAACTGTCTCAAAAAAAAAAAAAAAAAAAGAAAGAAAAGAAAGGGCAGCCAGGCAGCAGACCCATCACAAGGAAAGTTACAGAGATGGGAAAGAACGTGAAATGGAGAGTGACAGTGGGGAGGGCCATCCTCTGGGCCTTGTGAGACAAGAGTATTGGATGTGATGGACAGAGCGGCTGAAAAGCTAGGCTGGCTGTCATATGAAGCCTCCGGTATTGAGACAGGCTTACGGTGTGCTGGTTGCCAACTTGTATGAGTCCAGCGAGGCAGAATACCCATGCATACATGTTCTATCAAGTGGGTTTATTACTAAAGATGGGCAGCAAAGGACAACAGAAGCCTAGGATCCACTGTGCGCCTGACCCCAAGGCTCAGGAAAGCTGTCTGGGGCAGACGGCATCTTGTCTGCGTGCGCCCCATTTGCTGAGGGACCCCAGAAAGCAGCCCACCCTGGGTTTTATACTTCAAGGTGACATGATTTGCTGGGCCAAAGCCTTGAAGGCTGTCCTATTTCTGGGGCTCAGGGGAGTGGAACAGATCCTGGGGTGTTCCAGCCAGTCCCTCCCTATCTTAAGATATTGCATTCTCAGCACATTTTTTTTTTTTTTTTTGAGACAGAGTCTTGCTGTGTTGCCCAGGCT